ATAGGTTAGGCTTTGTATTTTCTAATTTTGGATGTTCCGGAAAATAAATGTTGTGTACAACTCTTCAAAAGATTTCCAAATCAATTTTCAGCCACTCGAGGGTTGGTCAGTCTCGATTTCTGCAATCAATACTAAACAGATATAGTCTTTTCTCGGTGGTTGTAGCTGTGTGTGGTGCTGCATGTGTGGCTAGAATCATGAACCAAGTATCAAGTACAATGGATTAAAGCGAGGGATTAAAGCTGAAAGGAAATATGTTGCATTTATGTAAGGAAAGCATAACTGTGCTGCTAAGAAGTGTGTTTATATCGATGCAACTTAAATATATTTTTAAGTAGCTGATATTTAAATTACGTGTTTTATAAATTATAATAGAGAAGAAATATTTTCACGCTTAAGTTAGACAAATGACATAACTGAGAAGAATTCGATTGGCAAAGCTAAAAAACGGTTAAATTGCTTTATTATTCTTAATGCGATTTTTAACACCGTGTTTGATATAAAAGAGGCTCAGACGGTGAGAAAAATGTTATTGTTAAAACAACGAATCAAGCAAAATGCAGTTCAAGGAAATTGGTCTTCTCCCATGGCTAGCGATCGCATTCATTATCTCGTGCATTGAGCCACCGTGTCCTCCGACAGATGGTCCTTAAGGGTAAAATATGCATAGAAAAGTGCAAATATGCATAACAAATAAATGATTAAAAGAAAACTTGTTTAATTTTTTATACACATATTTAAAAAAAAAATATAAGTAATATATTTAGAAATAGAACCAAATTGCAAATATTAACATTTTCAAAGTAAAGAAATATGTTTTTGCATTGGCCTGCTCAGTGAATTTAAGAACAAGCTGAATCTAGCGGGAAAACGCTAAAATGGGCATTACTTGGTGCTAATGCATATTGCAGACACGTGCGCGATACGCTTTTCTGATTTGTAGACGTGGACGAATCGAGTTGGAATTGAGCTATGAAACCGAAGAGCAGGGCTGAGGGACGATGGGAGACGAGAAGCTGTGTGCAGGGGTGTCGAAAAGGTCTAGATGGCAGTTGCCTGAGCAGCTTAACATATTTGTAAAGACCTTTTTATTAAAAACAAAAAAGCGAGCTTAAAGATTATTTTGTGAGTGAGGGAAACAGATGGGGTATTTTGTCTGGCAATCTTTTTTAGCATGGGTGCGATATTTTAATTACGACTTACTGCACGTCGCTATGGACATGCTTGACTGACTTTCTTATGTAGATAAGGAAAGCTTATAAGCTTCTCATTCCCATGTGCTACTTATGATTGGTAAATTAAAAGCTTACTAATATCAAAGCTTCTTAATTTTGTTATTAGTTTATATGAAAATAATTTCATAAAATTTAAAAGAGAATAAATATTAATATGTATATTTAAGCAACAGATATTTCACAACTGAGAACAATGCAATTGGCAAAGAAACTCTTTGCTCTCTTGAGAATGGCGTTCATTATATGTATCATTGATCAGCCTTGTCCAGGTTAACTTTCAAGAAAGAATATTTTAATAATTAATAATTAATTTTATTTTGCTCTTCTATACGAATCTTATGAAATTAATAATGCTTTTGGGCATGAATGCATGAAAGTATGATTAGGTGTATAACTGAAAAGCAGTATGAAAGTATGGAAGTATGTATACATTATATACTTCCATACTTTCATAGACTCAGTATCTCTCTTCTTCACACCTTCTAGTGACACGTCGATTGTCACATGTTCATTTTTTTTCTTATCGCTTAATATTTTGTTCAAATCGGACCACCCAAACTGCTCACAGAGAAGAGTGAAATGTGGGGGAGAGAGATAGAGCTTCGTAGAGGTTGGAGAGTTTCCTTTATTCACTGACCTTTGGCCCAATATCTCTTTCGACCACTCCTACTTTCTCCCCCTCTCTTCGACACTGGCTTACCTATTGGCACTCTTGGCTGCATTTTTTATGCTATGTTAAAGCCACTTTATGCGCTTTTTATGAGCCCGCAGCCATAAAAAAGTGTCTTACACACACACAAACACGCACTCAGATGGAACAACATATTTTAATATATGGACTCACATACATACGTACACATACGTGTATGTGTATATATTTATTTATTTTTATATTTATTGATTTTGTATTAAAAATGTAAGTGCTGGCTTTTAGTTTATTTTTTTCTTTTTCTTTCTCTTTTCCTTTTTTCACATTTTTTTACGATATTGAAATAAAGCGTTGCACATACATTCAATAAATATAAATAAATAACGAGCTGCGAGCGACCAAGTTAAACAACAACAACCATATTGAATATAATTTTAGTAAAAATATTTGTATTTCGTGTTTTCGATCTGTTGTTAAATTCTTCATTTCCCTCTCTGCCTCTCTCTCTCTTTGTATTTTGTTTTTTTTTTTTTTTTTGCCAAACGGATTTCAAGTGAAAAGCGCCAAAGGGCTGGCGAAATACAAACAGGCGACGATTCCGACTCGATTATTTACAATTTGATTTCATTTATACTCACACACACACACACGCACACATGTGGAGAGAGCATATACACACCTATAGAGCATGCGGGCATGTATTTTGATTTTTGTCCAAAAGGCATTTTTGTTTGGCAGTGAGAAAAATCAATCAAAATCGATTTAAAAGCAAACTTCCGTTGCGGATTTACACAAACGTGTGCGTGTGTGTGTGTGCGTGTGCGTGTCTGTCGGTTTGTGTGTTTGAGTGTTAACCAAATGTAACCAATTTATTTGCTTTTATGCGTTTCTGTTTTATTGTCTCTCTCTCTCTATCTCACCCACTCACTCGCTCTCTGTCTGCACTCGCTCTGTTCGCCAAGCATGTTTGGTCAAATTTTCAATAAATAAATTGAAACGCACACACAACTGCAAGCACACACACGCACACATAATCAGGCACATTTACAATTTGTTTTACAATGGAACTGCAGAGCGAGACCGAAGCAGATAGAGAGAGAGAGAGAGAGTAAGCTAGGGAGAAGAAGCAGGAGCAGGGAGAGTTGAGGCTAGCATGGAAAATTGGACAAACAATAAAAAAGGAGTGGAAATGGCAGAAATGCTTAATTCAGGACATTTGAATATTTCATAAGGACATGACCCACATACAAAACAAAGCACAAGGCACAGACCCAAAAACAAAAATAAAAAACACTTTTATAAATATGTGTGCGTGTTCGTGTGTATGTGTGTGTGTGTGAATGTAAGTTTTTTGGTCGGAAATCGCATTTTTCTGTCGAGCCATTGTTGCTGGGCAGTTTGCACTGTAATTGAGTGTATGTGCGTCTCTGATTGAGTGCGTGTGTGTACATCTGTGTGTGTGTGTGATTTGTAAATCCAGCTACAATTTCGGGTAGTGTAATTAAAGGAGCTATCCAAATAATATTTAAAAAATAATCAAATATCGTTTTAAACTTCCTAGAATCATGTGTGGCTAGAATCATAAACCAAGTATCAAGTACAATGGATTAAAGCGAGGGATTAAAGTTGAAAGGAAATATGTTGCATTTATGTATGTAAGGAATAGCATAACTGTTAGGGAGAATTCCAAAAATTTGGAGTAGATATGAAATAAAGATTCTCAACTGCTAATAAGCTAAAATGAGTATTATTCTGTTTTGTGATTCTACTTCTGTGATTCTAAGAAGTGTGTTTATATCGAAGCAACTTAATTATATTTTCAAATAGCTGATATTTAAATTTCGTGTTTTATAAATTATAACAGAGAAGAAATATTTTCACGCTTAAGTTAGACAAATGACATAACTGAGAAGAATTCGATTGGCAAAGCTCAAAAACGGTTAAAATCGCTTTATTATTCTTAATGCGATTTTTAACGCCGTGTTTGATATAAAAGAGGCTCAGACGGCGAGAAAAATGTTATTGTTAAAACAACGAATCAAGCAAAATGCAGTTCAAGGAAATTGGTCTTCTACCGTGGCTAGCGATCGCATTCATTATCTCGTGCATTGAGCCACCGTGTCCTCCGACAGGTGGTCGTTAAGGGTAAAATATGCATAGAAAAGTGCAAATATGCATAACAAATAAATGATTAAAAGAAAACTTCTTGTTTAATTTTTTATACACATATTAAAAAAAATAATATATAAGTAATATATTTAGAAATAGAACCAAATTGCAAATATTAACATTTTCAAAGTAAAGAAATATGTTTTCACTTCCTAAATACACGACCAGTATAAATAATGCCCTTTGGTCTCTTAATTTGTTTACCAGACATTTCCTCAAGCAATCGATTTCCTTTGTTGTGGAGTCAGCTCGGTGTCTGGCAGTTGGCACCACCTGACAACAGCAACGGCAGAAGCAACAGCAACGACAATAGTTGGAAAGGAAAGTCCCAAGAATCGGTCAGTCATATCATTTACAACTGATTGGCATTGACAGATGCCGCTGTCTCTGTCGCTGTCGCTGTCGGTGTCGTAGTAGCAGTCGCAGTTGCCGTCAACGTCGGCGTCGACGCACTTCAATATTGTATGATGATAAATTACTTATGACTTGGGCCCCCAGACATTCGCCGCAGCGGCAAAAGCGCAAGAATCGCAAAGCGGCCACCTGAAAGCATTTAAACGATAAACGAAAACAAAGCAAATGCAGCAGCAACAACAGCAACAGCACAAAAAGCTCACAGTAAACGAATGGCAATGAGGAGAGCGCTTTAGAGTGAGTGAGAGATGTTCGGCACGGCGTGTGGGCTAATGCAATGAAGTGCAAAAGTGCAATCGACTGCCAGAGCGCTTATATAGGGGGGGTAGGGAGAGGTAGGCGAAGCAAGGCGACATCGCGACGACGCGCCGCTAGTGGGCGACAGCGCAATATAAGCAAAGGGTGCAATGAAACAAAATAACAAAATGAATTAGTAATAATATTTTGTTTGTGCTTTTGCGCTCATTTTGGTCTCGTGCATAGTTTGCTAACTTTTTCTTTTGCCTTGCTTGTGTGCGTGTGCGTGTGAGTGTGTGTGCTTGAGTACTTGGCGACAAACATGCAGAGTGCAGAAGAAGAAGAAGATGACGACGCCGCCAAATCGATGAGGCGAACGTCGCGACGTTAATGGCGTCGACTGCGACGCACGTCTGCTCCTGCTGCTGCTACTGCTGTAGCTGCTGGAAGTGTCGACGACCGGACGGAATGGCTCTACGTTCGACAACGAACGACGATGCGACGCCAATAACAACAGCAGCAACAACAACAACAAAAACAGGGGAATTTAAGGGGGAATTTAAGACGAGCAATTGAACAGAGTTGTCAAACGGTCGTACACACTCTTTAAGCAGCAGCAGCAAACGTTTGCAGCATGTTTGACAACGTCCATAGGCTTGCAGTCCATCATGTTGCACTCAAGCAAAAGAGGCCTGGCATTAAGTTGCATGCGTGTGTGAAGCGTCTCTGTGTGCTGAGAGCGTCAAACATGAACATGTTTGATTCTGATTCTGTCCCTCCCTCTCTCTCTCTCTCTCTCGAACGCTCTCTCTGCTAGGCTTAGTACGTTACTGGCTGTGTGATTGCAATGACCGCCATACCGCAAACGGATCGCTGGCAAGACTTCTTCGATACATATCGGCAATTACCAGCGCTATGGCGAGTATCGGACGAGCAGTACAAAAATCAGAAGCAGAGAAAGGCAGCATATGAGAAGTTGCTGCAGTGCTATAAGAAAATCGATGGGAAAGCCAATATGGACACCATGCGGCGTAAGATCAATGGGATTCGAACTTGCTTCAGGCGCGAACTGCGTAAAGTGGAGTACAACGAGGAAATGAACAAGGTGTATGTGCCACATTTGTGGTACTTCAATGAACTGACATTCCTGTGTGACGAAGTAGGCAAAGCAACTGGGACGGAAATCACGGATGGCATCTGGGATAAGCCGGATGAGTCGATGAATGAATTTAAAGACGATGAGGACATGGATCACTGGTCCGAGTCGGAAACTAAAGTTGTGAGTATATTACAGGCAAGGTGAGAAATATATAAAGATTACTTCCTTTGCTTAGTTCGATCACGTGCTACCGACGTCCAGTGGATCGCCTGTAGAACCAGCACAATTAGAACAGACATCGCCTGCGGAACAGCTGCAGCCGCTGCGTATGTGCAGCGTCAGCCACTGCTCAAGAGACGAGGCTGCCATCTATGCCGAGGGCTGGGCCACATCCTATCGCAAGTTGGACGAGAAGAACAAGCTGCTGGCCAAAAAGGCCATCGAGGAGATTTTGGTGCTGGGGCAACTAAACAAACTCGAGTTCAATTCGGTGAAGATGCCCAATTGAAATAGACTTTGAAATGATTTTGCAGATAATATAATTGATCAATAAATATGATTTTACAGAATTTTATTTGTTGGGATAATCAAACACAGAAATTCCGTCCGATCTATTAGATTGAACTGCATATAAGACAAGACTAGTTGGAGGCTTTGTGCAATCTAAGGTTTGATTGTACACAGCCTCCAACCAGTCAATCATTACGTCAATTATTTAATCAGTCGCTCAACCAGACTATCAAATTTTCAGTTAGCGATATGCGAAATTAATCAGCTATTATGTATATATAATATACATATATATTCACATTGTAATCAACTGTTTATTCAGTCTGATTGACCGATTGATTATTATTTGTTTAGAGATATAATCATTTGGTCGGGCTTTTCAGCCACTCGAAACTAATTCTTTCATCTCTCTGTCAACTCTCTGTCTGTATTGAAATTATATAAAGATAAGTGTTTTCAATTGTCCCCAAGTTGTTCGCTTTGGGGTTGGCTAAGACTACGGTTAAAAAGAATTTTCAGCGAGGGTCGCATAAACTGTTTGCATTTGCCTCATTGAGTGTGCTTACGATGCTGCCGCTGCACACGCGCCCATTGTCAACATAGCTAAGCACACACGCGGACAAGAGATAGCGAGAGAGAACGAGAGAGTAAGTGGGAGAGAGGAGGACAGTGTGTGTCAATATGAAAGGAGTCCACGGATAACTTAACTTTAGCTTTTGTTGTTATTGTTGTTTGGCAAACACGCAATTTGGCGTTGCACGTGCAACAACAAAAGCAGCAGCAGCAACAACAACAACATCAATCAACAAAATTAAAATTAAAATTAAAATAATAACAAATTTGGTAAGCAGCAAAGCACAAATAAAACAATTCAAACTGCGAACATTTTGTGCTTGGAAAATTTTCCATAAACTCAGCCAAATAATTTCACATATTCGGATTTCACTTTTAGAGAGATATAAATATATATGTAGATATAGATATATATGGTATATATAGCAGCAAATATTAAGTAAATTATGTGTGTTTGTGTGCGCCTGTTTGTTTATTCAGCGCAACAAGTTGGATTTGTGGATGAGATCTAACGGCGTGTATCGATCTTTAATGATTGTTTTTTTGTTGTTCTCAAATTTTCTCGTCGAACAAATCAAATTCTTTGCGCAATCGTTCCCAAAATAATATACAGCGCACTTCCTTTCTGGCTATTGAGTAATAAATCAATATAGAAACCAAGCTGGCGCCCACTTTGCGCCCAACACTCCCACTCACACAACAAAGAGAGGGCGGCAGGGTGGGTGGTAGGGAGATGGGGGTTGGGGCTTGGTGCTGGGTGCGACAACAACAAATTGGATTTGTTGCGCCTTCCTTTTTTTAGCTCTCTTTTATTTCTATATAAGTATTTATTTTGAAAGCGTTAAGGAAACCGAGAAGTCGTCGAAGCTATACACACTTCCTCCAATCCTATTTCGCTCTGATGATTATGGATATACCCGTTGTATGAGTGAGTATGTAACAGGCGCGTATTAGCATGTACGAATGTCTGAAAGAAAGAATTCTAACAATATTTCTATTTCAATTGTCTATACTTCCTTTTCTCTATATCCGACTGCTCTATTCTAGTGTAGAGCAAACCGTACAGGGTATTTCGTAGTCGTTCGCTGTCTCTCTTCTTGCTGTGGCTCCTGCAACTGTAGTTGGCATTGTCGTTGTCGCTCTGCCGCCCCGCCCCCCACAATTTGCACACTTTTGGGCGCCTAATCAAGTAACCCGAACACGTTCTTTGTTAGATTTATATGGAAAATATTTTTATACAAGAAGAAAAAACTCGTGGCCCCCAGCAACCTCCCCCTGACCCGGCTCGCTCAGTGTGCAGACAACCCCTCGATGCCCTCTGCGCGGGCAAAAGCTTTTTCTTGCACTTTTGGCCTTTATGCTGGCTAAGTGTGAGGCTCCTTCGTATCCATCGTATCCTTGGTATCCTTGGCGCCGCCTCAAAGTGATATTTTACATATTTTCCTTTTTATTATTTTGGTTTTTCTTCTTTTCATTTCGTTCAGTTTTTTCTGCTTTTTTCGTCGACATTTTTTTGGTTGCTTGAATTTTATTACTTTACGCTTAAGTGTGTTTCTTTTTCTCTCTTTTTAAGCTAAGCTATAGATATGGCAAAAAGAGAGAGATAGGGGGAGTGAGACAGAGGTAGACAAAGTTTGGTTGCCTTCTCCTTTGTCTGCGACTTTCAAATGCAGTTTTTCTTTTCTCTTTTTCGATGCCTTAAATGGAAAAGTTTGAGACGATTTTTCGCCTCTCTTCAGTTAAATATTGATTGTGGAAATTATAAAGAGTTTTTTATTCAACAAATAGGGCGAGCAATAAGACAAAGTTAATGAATTGAGGCGCATGAGAGATGAAATTGCATGAGATTTGAGCTTATCACAAGTTAAGCAAAGTTTTACCAGCTGCCGCCGTTGCCGGCGCCTTGCGAGGACCAACCGGCGCTGGCACCGCCGCCGCCCTGGGAGGACCAGCCATCGCTGACAGGACCTGGCGAGGACCAGCCGCCAGCTGCAAGGCCACCCGACGACCAGCCACCGGCACCGCCTGATGAGCCACCCGAGGACCAGCCACCGCTTGCCGCACCTGCCGAAGACCAGCCACCACCGCCTCCTGCTGAACCACCAGCGGACCAGCCTGCGGCATCACCACCGCTTGAACCGCTTTCTGTGATGATTTTGATGATTTTTACAGCTGTGTTGGTGTCGCTGCCTCCGGACGACCAACCAGAAGAGCCACCACCGCCGCCTCCACCAGCAGACCAGCCACCACTGGAGCCACCACCTGCAGACCAGCCACCACTAGAGGCACCTCCATAGCCACCCTCTGAGGGCTGCGTAATGATTTTAATAATCTTAACATCCTGTCCACCTTGAGAGCCACCGCCATAGCCGCCACCGCCGCCGCCTGATGACCAGGCACCACCACCGCCGCCTCCTGCTGCCCAGCCACCAGCGCCAGCGCCTGCGCCACCCGACGATTCGTGTATTATTTTGAAAACTTTGACTTCGGGTCCGCCGCCAGAGTCACTATGTCCATGTCCATGACCGCCAGCACCTCCACCGCCACCACCAGCACCACCGCCAATGTAGCCCGCGTTGACTACGGCGACAATCGCCAGCAAGCAAAGGAAGACTCTCATAGTGATCGTTGATCTGGTTGATATGAACTAAAGAGCTGAACTGATGCCATTACCATGTGAATCGACAGCTTTTATAGAGGTGCTCCTCTGGCCTTGGCTATGTGCAACTTAAACGCCTCCATCCTCGTTTATGAGCTGCTGTTGCTGCTGCCGCCGGAAGCAAACGCCAGCAACAACAACCAATTGATTGCTTTTGGTGTTTGCTCAAGTGGCCAGCAGGCAAAGGCAAAGGCAACGGCCACGGCAGGTGGAAAGGCAAAGCGAAAGCATCGCCCTCGGAGAGAGATGCTCTTGTCCCATCTATAGAGACGCACTCGTAACATCATTCGCATCTCGTAACTAGAGAGTCAATTGAGCTGCTCACATTTGCACGAATTGTTACGATTTTGGTTCACATTTGGAAGTGGGCCTTGCTTTGATTTGAGTTAGGGTTTGCTTGATTATGTCATACAATTTGCAAGAGGGACCAAACATAAAAGAGTATGTGAAGTGGCTTTTATGGTAGATGAAGCTTATTTGGGGTAATACCAAATGGTATCAGGGTTGGAACTAATACTAGTTGAGGTACCTTGGCAAAATTTGAATGAGAATGTGAAAAGTACTTTAAAGTTGCCTTTCTCAAGAACAAAGCTGAAGTGGGATACAAGGCTGCGTGCCTTTGATATATAAAAGCAGCGGGGGAGAAAAATACCAAATATATTAGCTAACTTTACAATTTATTGCAAAGTATGAACTTGCGATAGATAAACACAGTTTAGCAACAAAATCAAATAGTCAAAAAAATTAATTTAATTAGAGCTTAATATTACCTATGATATAGGATATACTGCTTGAAAGATATATATGAGATTGGAACCATTCATTACCAACAAAAATTAATTCAATAATATTTGAAACTAAAGAAAAAAAATTTATAATTTATTGATAATTGAAAAATCTTATGTTATCAACAACTTCAAATACAGGGAATTTTCTTATGGAAACAAATTCAGTTATGAATAAATTCCCTTAAATATCGTGCCTCAACAAAATGAACTAAAGCTACATGCTCTTCCATTTTGGTTAGGGTACTCCCAGCTTCATTATGTTTCTCACTTATTTGTTTACTTATTTCACTTTGTTTTGCTTCACTTTCTTGTGGGTAGCCGGCGCTATTATGTAATAAGCAAAAACAATCACTTTTTGGCGCATGGACAGCTCTTGAATGAGCTGCAGTCGCGACGATCAATGAGGGCAGATGATTAATGAGTGTTTGCTAAGCTGAGCTGGTGGAAAGCGAGCGGCGAAAGGGAGAGAGGAGAAGAGTTGAAGAGCCGTTGCGACTGACCCTGACATGGTTAATGATGTCAGCCCAAGCAGACGGCTACTGCAGCGAATTACGCTGCATGCGTTGTCCTTGCGTACTGCGCATTGCGCATACGCAGCGTGCAACTGAATGAGAAATGTGATCGATCATGCGGGCAGGCAAGAAAGTTCTCAATTAGCGCATTGGGTTCGATAATTAATCAATTTGTATTGCCAATAAATATGACAACAACTGAAAACAACAGCAAGAGTGAAGCACTTTGATAAATGATTTATTTTGGCTTTATCTTTTTGCATTTCCATTCAAGCAAATAAATTCAATTAAATAATATGTTGCAAGGCACGCATAATAAATGAATCGTGGGAATATTTGGGTGCACAAGAAACAGACACACACACATATATGTATTTGCCACACCCCTCAACCTGGCTTGCCCACCCCATTTTTATCTGTTGCAGCTCACAAATTGGGAATGTGAAAAATTTAACAAAAATCGAAGCAGCGACGCGTGCAACATATTTTCCTTGTCAGATTTTGACTGCCTTTTTTCTATATATACA